CTTTCGCTACCCGACAGCGGTGACTGATAACAAAGATGGCGCAGGCACGGCGCTGTGGAGGAGGAGTGACGTGACCAACGGGCTGTCCAAACGGTCAGTTATCTGAGTTCTCTATAAAGTCAACTTCATAGTCCAACTTTATTAGGGTGGACGTTCGGATACACTAAGTATGAGCTTTTAGAACAGAAGCTTTTAAACAGAGCGTGCTCAAGGAGAAATAGGCTTGTGCATATGTCTTTTAAAAAATGTACAAAAATCCTCCACAATACTTTTAATTGGCTAAGACAGAAACTGCAAAAATCAGCCTGATTGTTACAACGTATTGAGGTTGTTGGGAACAGTGATGGTTATAAAATCTTACAGCTGGTGGGAGGAAGAATTTGTGATAACATTTCCTGGTGGATTTAGGTTAACAAAAAAAAAAAAGGTGATAGTATTTCCATAACCAAAAAAGGGATGCTAGATTATCTTAAAGATTAGCTCACACCACCCCATGCAATAAGCTGTTGCTGAGCTGGAAAACTCCTTCAGTGTCAGAAAACCAAAGTTTTCTTTCGAGGTGCTGTGAGTGATCCCATCTGCGAGCAGGAGTTTGAAACAGATGAGAGGGAAGAAACACTGGGAGCCGAGATCCTTGGAGGCTCTGATGTCGTGACCTCATCTAGCAGCAGCACCCACTGGAGACTAGATTCGGGGAAGACATAAGCCAACAGGGTACAACATTGTGTGCTATTAGATCAGGATGTCACACATGCAACCATTTCCACACAACTTTTCACCCCAAATACAATGATTGGTTAATTTCCTCAGCAGTGATTTTGTAACATATATTAGGTTTCAAAATATCCCTCCAATAAAAAAAAAATTTAAAAAAGTAGGGAAAGAAAGAAGAGCTTGAATCTGAGGTCAACAAAATGGTTCCTTACAAAGATATGTTTAAATTGAAACAAAGAAAAAAAAAAAAGATACAAAGAAATGTTTAAATTGAAACGAAGAAAAAAAAGAAAAGATTGCCTCTGTTTGATTCACTGCACATTTTTTTTCTCCTTTGTTATATATCTGAATTGACCTTTTTAAACTTTCAGGACAAAAGATGACTGACTGTTATAATTGTCTTAGAAAAATACCGATACTACTGATGGTCCCATTCTAATACCACTGGGTTTAACAGGTGTAAAGGAGAATATACTGTTGCCACAGCAGGAGCAAACCAGGTAATGATACAGGTTCAAAGAAACACCACTGTGGCAGCTGAAATCGACCGGTATGATTGGATTCTCTGTAAGGTACAGTGTATGATAAGCTATACAGAAATTATGATTTGTTAATCTGTAAACATTCACATATGTTAAGCTTACATCTGAATCAAGGTTCCCTAATTGGTCGGCTGCTGAGCACAAACACTTCAATGTTTTTACTTATTCTAGGTGCTAATGTTCTTGCTAGGGACGAGAAGCGAGTTTTTAAAATTCAATTTGTAGACAAACTCCAACCTGAGAAGCTAAACTCCTTTTTTTCAAGGTTATATCACCAACTGTTCTGTGTGTGGTAATATAAATAGGTCCACTTTGTATGTGAAACTCATCCCTGTTCAAATCTTTGTCTCATCAAAACATTGGCAGAGACTCTATCTGTTCTCTCTGGCAAGGATCAATAAATGCAGTTTACATGAAAAACACCAAATTCTTTTTTTCTGATATAAGCCCTAGACTTTTTCCAATAACACATGCAACTGAAAAATAATATTAAACGAGTCTACTTGACAGCAATCACAGATATTTATCCTTCAGTATCGCTATAATATTATAATGTCAGTGTTTGAATGTAGTTTAATAAACCACATGAAGAGACCAAACAGCCTGCCACTTCTCTCTCTCTTGAAACCGAAGAGCAATAATTAAAAGACTGTAATAGTGGATTTGCAGTTGTTATCTGAGATTATATTGTTCCCAGCAAAAAAACAGCACATTTGTTTGAGAACATTTTTATGTAAATAAATCTTTATACCAAGATAGAGGTGTAACTAAGATCGAGTTTATTTATCATGATTTTCTTAAGATCTGACCCACATGCAGAGAACCAGGGTAAAAGTTTGAACAGGTTTATTGATAAGGACAGCGGGGGTAGGATTCAGGAAACTCAGTGTGCTGGTGAACCGGAACTGGAAGAGGGAAGGGAAGTATCGGTGTTTAGTTCAGGATCCGTGGGAACTTTGAGCGATGACTGGAGAGACAGAGAAAACAGGACTCAACAGGTTGGTTGAGAAGACCTCTTCTCCCAGAATCCAGTTAGTGTGGGTTTATCCAGAGGTAGAGACTTGTTGGACTGCGGACAGGTTTAGACTTGGTTGGATCCTGAGGAGCTATTGAGCGGACTGTCACTTGGGAATTCAGGAGGACTTGAACTGAACTTGTGGAGATTAATCCCCTGCTCAGTGTGAGGCTCAAACAATCCTTCCAGGGGAAGAAGGACAAACATCCAGCTTGCAGGAAGGCTTCCTTCCGAAAAGGCAAAGACAAAAAAAAAACAAGGTTTGGCTCGGCGAAAAACAAAGACTCAGTTAGACTCAGCAAAACACAGCTTGGCTAGAGTACCCAAAACTGGCAAACACTCTGGCATCGAGGTAGTGACAGTCCACCGCTCAAATAATCCTCAGTAATGAGCCAAACAGCTGCAGGTATGTGGGAGGACCAACGAGAACAGGGCGCAACCTGGTGGTGGAGGGAGAGAACAACACAAAGACACAACCCACACAAACTGGATTCCTAACATTATTATTCTTATCTCTTAACCTTCTAATTTCTTTAATCCCCAAAAATTAATATTTTTTAGTTGTCCCAACTTTTTTTAACTCAATCAATTTGAGGAAACTGTTAAACCGTTCAAGTTACCAGAACACAATAAAAACAGAACTCTTATACAAGTTTCAAATGTTTAGACTTAGAGACTTGGACAGATTTTATTTTGTCATTTTGTATAGACAAGAGTAAACAAAAAAAAATAATTTTTAAGAACAGCACTCTGGAACATTTCATTTTTTAAAGTGCAGCCTTAATAAGGTAAGCAGCAGGGCAAAAATTTTTTTTGATGAAAAACAGTAATGTAAACATATGACTGTATAGTTACAGTTCTAACATTATTTTTTTTCTTCTGTAGAAGGTGGTGAGGATGAGTGGGGGCAGGTGGGCTCTCCTTATTCTCTACAAGAAGTACATGTGCTTCTGTGCCCTTTTGACAAGTGAGGCTGTGTTTACATTCCAGGTGAGGGTGTCTGTGATATGCACTCCCAGGAATTTGGTGCTATTGACCTCCTCTACAGCTGAGCTGTTGATGACCAGTGGAGCATGGTTGAGCCGGTTCTTCCTGAAGTCCAAGATGATCTCCTTCATCTTCTCCACGTTCAGGATCAGGCTGTTATCTTTGCTCCAGTCCACTAGCTGCTCCACCTCCTCTCTGTAGTCCAGGGCGTTTTCGTCTCTGATGAGGCCCACCACTGTGGTGACGTCTGCAAACTGCACGATGTGATTGGTGTTGAACCTGGGGACGCAGTCATGTGTCATCAGGGTGAACAGCAGGGGGCTCAGGACGCAGCCCAGAGGGGACCCTGTGCTTAGGATGATGACATCAGAGGTGTTCTGTCCGACCCGGACTGACTGAGGACTGTTGGTGAGGAAGTCTAGCAGCAAATTGCGGAGGGGTGTATTGAATCCCAGCTGTTTCAGTTTGCCCATCAGATGCTGTGGGATGATGGTGTTGAAAGCTGAAATGAAGTCCAGGAACAGCATCCACACATGGGTGTTCTTCTCCTACAGGTGTGCCAGGCTCAGGTGCAAAGCAACAGAGATGGCCTCCTCAGTGGAGCGGTTTCGTCAGTAGGGCAAACTGGAACGGGTCGAATGTTGGCGGCAGACTGGAGACAATGTGTTCTTTAA